CTGTTGAAATATGTAACAAAAGTACATTTTCTTTAGTTGCGAGAGGGAAGGCTGTATCATGAACATTAGTCAAAGGGTAAAAGTGTAATTCTAAGAGAAAAGCATTCAACTTGAGCTCAGTTTCTTCTGTCAAACCTCTCCCCCACCAACAGCAAAAGCTATCTACAAAATGAAATCTTAAGAGAATTCCTAATTCTTGAATGTCCTTTTGATAGATTTGCTTAAGAAACCTGTTTTGTCTCTTTCTGCTAGACGTAGAGATGAGTAAAATGTCAGAGATTAAAGGATGGCGCTTATCAGAAACTTCCCATCATGTCCCACCCTTTTCCTCAATGTCACTTACATTGTCAGATTTTAGAGAAGTCAGTAGTTAAATAGCAAACCAGGTACCATCTCCCTCAGTCCTTTATTGCCAGAAAATAACTGATAACTGGTTCTGACAGTGTTCCTCATTGGACAGTCAGTCTGGACACCCACCACTGCCTGGACAGAGTTGCTAGCTTAATAATATCTTCAGAATTCTTAAGGTGGATAGTGATATGGCATTCTGCTTCTTGTTTTCGCCTTTAATTCTGATTCTCCTTTCCTTTGTGGATATATCACACAGGGAAGAGACAGCAAAGCAACCCAAGATTTCACACCCTCTACTTTCCTTTCTATTTTTTCCCAACCTTTTTTCCCTTCTTCCTTTTTTTTTTGTTTCTTTCTCTCTTCTAGTATGCTCCTTATCCCCACAATCTGTGATAAATAGAGTTTGAATTAAGGTAAGACAAAAGCTATCTGAATCTCTCTCCTCCCAGTACACATACATATGCACATGCACACACATTGTTCAAGGCTATTACAGATACTGGCTTACTATAAAGATTGGGCTTCCCAGGTAAAAATCCTAGCAGTCTAGAGTGGGCAAGACAGTGAGCCCCCTGTCTCATTTATAAAAGGAACTTATAAATATCCATCTTTAACCATTTTCAGTAATATTTTTTTCATAGAACAGTTTTTTTCTCTTTCTTTAGCCACTTAGAAAATTACCATTCCTTGTGAGCTTAGGCTTAGCACTATTAAATATTTACATTTCCAGTGGAATTATGTTTTTTGGTCTGCTTATTTGGCTCTTAATTTATAAGAACTAGTAATGAAAATCATGGTGTACAATCTTTGCTGTGCCATCAGATCAGCTATCTAATCCAGTTCTTCTCAAAGTGTGGTCCAGGGACATATAGGGGGTCCACAAGGTCAGAGCTATTTTTGTAATAATACTAAGGTGATCAGATTTCAAATGCAGAAAATATCAGTAGATGTAACCCAAATAAACAGAAGTTCTTTGGGATTCTCAACCATTTTTTCATTTCATTTTCTTTTCTTTTTTTTTCTCAATTACATGTAAACAAAAATCTTTAACATTCATTTTTTAAAATTTTGATTTTCTATACCTCCTTCTTTCCACACCTCCCTCTTTGAGAAGGCAAGCAATTTGATATAGATTACAGATGTGTAGTCATGCAAAAACATTTCCATATTAGCCATATTGCAAAAGAAATGACCAAAAAAGCAAAAATAATAAAGAAAGTAAAAAAAAAAGTATGCTTCACTCTGCATTCATACATCCTCAGTTCTTTCTCTGGAGGTGGATAGCATGTTTCATCCTAAGTTATTCATCCTAATATTGTGTTGCTGAGGACAGTTAGGTTATTCACTGTTGATGATCATACAGTATTGCAGTTACTGTGTACAATATTCTCCTGGTTCTGCTCATTTCATTTTGCAACAGTTCATGGATTTCTGTTAAAAAAAAACTACTAGAAAACATAGGAATAAATGGACTTTTGTTAGAGTGATAAGTATCACATATTTAAAGCCAATAACATTATGCGTAATGGAGATAAACTAGAGTCCTTTCCAGTGAAATCAGAGATGAAATAAAAATGTCCATTGATACCACTTCTATTTAATACAGAACTAGATATGCTGACTGTACTAATAAGGCAAGAAAAAGAAATTGAGGGAATAAGAATAGGTAAAGAAGCAAAATTATATGATGATGATATGATGATATACTTAAGCCTTGCATAGAACTAAAAAATGAATTAAGATAATTATTTCAGGATGTAAAATAAGTCCTTTCCAATCATCAGCATTTCTGTATAACACCAATAAAACACAGTAAGAAGAAATAGAGAAATTCTGTTTAAAATGACTAAAGAAGGGCATAAAATACTTGGGAATCTACCTACCAAGATTCACAGAAGAATTATATGTATATATACATATATATAATACACACACACACACAGACACACACACACACACACACACATATACCACTGTTTTCAGAAATAAAGACAAACTTAAATAATTGGAAAAATATTAATTTCTTATGGGTAAAATAAGTAACAGTACCATCTAAGTTAATTTACTTATTCAATGCCAGATGTGGTGGCTCCACTGTCATTGATGGAGAAAATAGATTTTTAGAGAAATCTGGGCAGACCTTTTCTATTTTCTACCTATTTGTTTTCCTCTTTTCAGGCACCCTTAAATGAATCTTGGGATGATATGGCTTAGTTGGGTCTCTCACTAAGCTTTTTGTAAATATCTTCCCTTTATTGCAATACATTATTCCACAGTGTTCTACCACTTCCCTCTTTAAGATTTTACAAATGAATGTATATTTTAAATCAGGTTTGCCTTTGACTGCCTTATCTCTTTGCTTGACAAGGAGATGTTTGCTGGCTGAGACAGTATCTAAGCTTTTCTGGTCTTCTTGTTGTGGTGATTGTTTTATATTGGGCAGTCTACCTTAGGTAATGGTGATAATTTGTGTTTGATATTTTTTGCTTCATCCATTTTCCTTCTTTTTTTTTTTTCAACCCCATAAGTGTTTTTTCCCATTAGGTAGGGTTGAAGATCCCTCAATTTTATGCCATACCTATGCATTTTAATTCTAATTTGCATTTAATTTTCAGAATGTACCTAATTCCCATCTTGGGAGAGATGGAAGCATATGGGTATGGAACACTATATATAATGTCAAACTTGGTTCATGTATTAATTTCCTAAACTAACTGTATTTTCCTCCTCTGGTCTTTGTTATAAGAGATGGCATTCTGGATGGTAAAAGGCATATGTTTGGATATGATAGTTTTGTGAAAACAAAAGATAAATTTTTTTTAAATTATATTTATTTTGATCTTTACTTCAAGAAGACAGTGGCCTGACTACATAGAGCTGATATGGAAATAACTCTTGCATCATTTCCAATCAGTTAAAATAGAATTAATTCCATTTTTATGATGTTAGTAAACATTTAAGTGCATGTTATATTCCTGGAACTGTGTTAAGTGCTGGGGATACAAAAAGAGATAAAAACAGCCCCTGCGTTCAAGGCGCTTACAATCTAATGATTATAATCATTAGATATTGATAATGTTAGGTGGTGCTTGTCATGTCCAGTGGTTCTCACCTTTCTTTTTGGAGAAAGATTCATAATACGTAATCATGAATATTGTGTACAGGATGTTCCAGAATTCTTAGTGCAGTTTTAAGCTTGAATAGCTTTTTAAGTACAAAATGCACACATGCACATGTACATTCATATGTGTTATATTTACACATAAAATATCCACACAAGTAGATGGGGAGAGGGAGAGAGAGAGAGAGAGAGAGAGAGAGAGAGAGAGAGAGAGAGATGGATGGATGGATGGATGGATGGATGGATGGATGGATGGATGAAGTAGGTAGGTAGGTAGATAGAATAGATAGATAGATAGATAGATAGATAGATAGATAGATAGATAGATAGATAGATGGATGGATGGATGGATGGATGGATGGATGGATGGATGGATGGATAGATAGATAGATAGATAGATAGATAGATAGATAGATAGATAGATAGATAGATAGATAACCTACTAGCTTTTGGTCTTTCTTGATTTTTTACTCCTGAAGCATATTTTCCAATATGTTTCTTACCCTTCTTTCCCATATCCACCACTGCATTGAAGTCATTATTAAAGAATGTGCTAATTTAATTGAAGGTTCTAAACTGGTTTCTTCTAGAATTTACATATCTTCTGATGCTCTGAAAAAGATGTTGGTCCATAAGTTGCAGATGCCTGCACAATGGGTTTGGGTGTGTGTGTGTGTGTGTGTGTGTGTGTGTGTGTGTGTGTGTGTGTGTTTTGCTGGTGTTTATTATGAGTACTTCAATATTAGGTGACCAACTATCCATGAACAGAAAGTGGTATTTCTTATTGCCTTTGGATTCACGTCACATTCAGCGTTCCCAGCCTCTTTACTTCTTTCAGGGAGAACATCTGAGCCCAACTTTAGCTTCAGTCTCCTCTTCATTTTTGGTTTCATTCATAGGGAGAAGCTTAAGATTGACATGATTCTGTTCCTTCAATAATATGACAATTCACTGGCCTGTTCACTAGATAAGGATCTCATATTTTACAGTACCTGACAACCAAATTAATGTGAATAGACAGACTGTATGACCCTTAGCACCCTCTTTCTCCTTATCTACCACCTAGTCAACATCACTGCAAAAGCTGTATTTTTCTTTAGGAAGACTAGATGATTCCAACTCTAAAATCTTGTGATTCCTATGAAAGTCTGAGTCTCTCACTACGGCAGTTTCTGATTTCTGTCACATTTAAAAAATTATATATACCCTATTCAATGATCATTAACCTGGTAGATTCTGGCTTAAAAAAAAACCTTAGATTGTATTCATCACTTCTTTATTTATAGTTAAAATGCTCTGAGTTTAGTGGAGGGCAATATAATTTTCAAAGTATGAATTATCTTGGCTAAAGAGAGAGTTAAGTGCCACGCTTATTAAGCCCCAAATGCAATGAGCAGTGGCCATTTTTTTCATCAGTAGCAAACATCTATGATTGGGGTTCACTTCTGCTTTTCCCTGTTTAAAGGAAGAATATGAAACGGCATTAGCTAATGGCTTCGTGGTCTTTGCTTTGTGTTTTTTTATACAGGATGAGTACAAACCAGAAAAGGCTTTGTCTGAAGATGACTTGAAGAATGCAGTGAGTGTGCATCACGCGCTGGCATCAAAGGCCACAGACTATGAGAAGAAACCAAATGTGCTGAAACTCAAAACAGCCGACTGGAGGGTCTTGCTGTTTCAAGCCCAGTATGTATGGGGGTTGGGCAGAGGGGCTGGGAGCGAGCGGTTTTCAGTTTAAGAAGTTTGATTACTATTAATCATTGCATTCATGTACTACTTAATAATTCTCAAAGTGTTTTCACGTGCATTTATCTCAAGTAACCTTCACAGCCATTCTTGGAGGATTCTAAGGAAATTTTTGTTAGCCCCACTTTACAGAGAGAGAAAGAATCTTGCCCAAGGTCCCTAAAAGAGCTGAAACTGGAATCCAGGTTTTTGATACTCAGTCCCATGTTTCTTCTGCTACAATATGCAGATTTATTCTGTCTCTACTTATATTTTATCTCGGGAAGACTGAGTTCAAAAGCTGTAGTTATTTCTCTTCCTATAGACTAATGCTTCTCTGACTTGGGGAAGTGGGGAAATAGGTTTTATGACTTGAGTGATTAAAGAAGAGAGCCCAGAAAAGAATTGGCAAAGCTAAATCCATCAGACAGCAAGCATTTATTAAGTACTTAATATTTGCCAGGTGCTGTGTTAAAGACAGAAGTCAGTCTGTGCCCTCAAAGAGCTTGCATTCTGATGGAGGAGACATTATACATGTATGAGAGGACATATGTATAAGTACACAGAGAGTATATACAACATGAATGCAAGCAGGGAGGGCATTCCAAGTATGGGACTCAGCCTGGGATGATGCAGATTTGGGAGGTGCTGGAGCATCATGAGTATGAAATAGTGAATCAGCCAAAATGGCTCCTTTGCTGAATGTGTAGAGCAGAGTAATGTGTAAGGATATGTGAAAGGCTGAATCATGTAGAGATTTAAATGCCAATAGAGTTTATGTATGATCCTAGCACTAATAAGAAGTACTTGAGTTTATTAAGTGAGGCAGATGCGACATGGTCAGAGCTGGGCTTTAGGAAAATCATTTTATTGGCTCTGTGATGCATGGGTTGGAGTGAGGAAAGGCTTAAGATAGAAAGAACCATTGCAATAGACAAGAGGTAATGAGGACCTACAATATGGTAGTGGCTGTGTGAGTGGAGAAGAGGGGGATACATATGAGAAATACTGTAGAAATAGAAATGGCAAGATTTGGCAACTGATGAGAAGTGTGTGGGGGGGTGAGAGTGAGGAATTGAGTGATGACATTATGAATAGGGGTGAATGGAAAGGTAGTGCTTGCCTTAACAGTAATAGGGAAATTGAGAAGAGTAGTTGGTTTGGGGGAAAAGATAATGTGTATTGTTTTGAACGTGTGGGGTTTAAGGTATCTTTGGCCGGTCTGTTGGTGTGATGTCAATGGGACAGCCATTTCAAGACGCCTACTATATTGGCAGCTGTTTTGTGAGATTAGAGCTCAGGAAAGAGATTAAGTCTTGATATGTAGACCTGTGAGATTTGTGCATAGGGGAGCTGATGAGGCCCCAGGACAGAGTCTGGGGTACACTCAAAATTAATGGTCATGATATGGGTGATGATCCAGCAAAGGAAACAGAAAGAATGGTTCACCAGGCAGGGAGAAAAACAGAAAAGATGAATGTCACAAAAGCCCAGGGAGGAGAGTATCTGGCAGGAAAGGATGGCTAAGATTGCCACACGGTGCAGAGAGGTAAGAAAGGATAAGGACTGAGAAAAGGGTATTAGTTAGAGCTAACGCTAAAAGAATCACCATAGGAGAAGGAAGAGAAAATGTTTAGGTAGGGAAGTAGACTCGATTCCTAATTAAAGGGGGAGCCAAAGTCGTCCTGGAGGACTTCCATATGTAGCAGTGGTGGGTTCTACACATAAGGGAGTGTAGAGCAGTCTGTGAATATTCTGTACTTGAGAAGTAAGGATTTTTGGATTTTGAAAAAGGGAAGTGAGATTTTAAAAAGGAATGAAGTCAACCAAAACTTTGTCAACTAAAGCAGTGTCAAGATCATGAGAGTAGTGAATGCCAGAGTATCATTGTCTTGGGGCTCATGGAATTTGACTTAGCCAAGATTCAAGATTGCCAACTTTGGGGGAGAGGGTATTGCTTTTATATTTTTTTTGTCTCATGACCCCCTCTGGCAGTGAAGTCTGGGGATCCCTTCTCAGAATAATGGTTTTAAATGAATAAAATACTTAGTATTACAAAATAAACCGATTGTATTTAAATACAGTTATCAAAATGTTTCTTTTTTAAAAAAATCCCGCAGTACTAAGCAAAGAACCCCAGTTATACAGAAAGAGGTATTACCGAAAGATTTGGGATAGTGAGGGAATGGAAGGAGTGAGGAGTGAGAGGAAGGAATTTCTCTACAGCATTTTACTGAAATGAGATAAGCTAGACAAGATTGAAAGACATCCACGGGCTAATAATGGTATTCTGAAGAGCAAGACCGATGTAAAAAACTTTTGTTTTAAGCCACATGCTTAGTCACCAATGAGAATGAAGCAGGAATTGGGGATCATCTAGTTTAGAAATAACCTAAAATTTCTTCCATCCTTCACAGGAGCGCAGAAGAAATGGAAGCATGGATCAACATAATTAACTGTGTGGCAGCTGTGTTTTCAGCACCCCCATTTCCAGCAGCTATTGGCTCCCAGAAGAAGTTCAGCCGTCCACTTCTTCCAGCTACAACAACAAAATTGTCACAGGTAGATAAAAGTAAAAGTAACACTTGTTGGAGGAAGTAAGAGTTGTCTTTTAGATGTTCTTCATGACTGAAAAATTCAAGTTTCCTGAGTATTCAGGATTTATCTCCTTTTCTACAATAAAACTGAAAAATGAATGTCTTGTGTGCCTAAGTTAGCCATCATTCAGTACAACTAGGTCTTGATTAATGATTAACGAAGCCTAAGAAGTTGTCTCATGTATTCAGATTTGTACAATTAGAAGATATAATAACATAAACTGGTAATTGTTTCCAGCCAAAGAGAAGTGTACAGAGCAAATTCAAATAATGCTACCACTTCACAGAATTTGTTATTTACCTTCAATGGGATGTAGCTGTATTCCATTTCATTGATGTGGGTATTCTCTGGCCTACTGCAAATCACAGAACTTAATTATAAGGTTTCATGAATGGCCATGGCCAAAATTCATCACCTGGTAGCCAGTGTTCTGATAGTGAATGTCATTTCACCTAACTAGGTTGGCCATCAGGCAGAAGTCCATCACCATATCTATTACTATCTTGGTGGGTACAACCAGAGCTTGTGTTCCATTGGCCTAGTAGTTGGTAACCCAAGGTCACCTCCACCCTGTGGAATAGAATCTAATTAGGGTTTTAGTGGATGATATTGTCATTAACATTTATATTAGCAATGCCCTTTCAAAATAGCAATAATAAAACTAGATAATATGCTTTAGGAAACAGAAATAGACCCCAAAAATTACCATGTTAGTAAGGCAAGATAGATGTCATTTGGTGTTATCTTCTGTACACAGCAGTGGTTTCCAACCTTACTGAATGGAAAGACCCCTTTTTTACATAAAAATATTTCCAAGAGCCTCACATGGTAACAGTTGTACTGATAATATCAGTTCATTATCATTTAGTCAAGAAGTTTTTATTAAGCACCTTCTGTGTTCCAGGTACTCTGTTAGCAATAGGGATACAGGTTTTAAAAAATGAACCAATCCCTACTGAGAAGGAGCTTACATTTTAATATGGGAGACAAGTAAATATAAAAATATGTAGCATAAATATAAAGGCAGGTTACCAAAGCATTTATTAAGCACCTGCTGTGTGCAAGGCACTGTGCTAAGGCACCAGAGACATAAAGAAAGTCCCCCAAAATTAAATAAATATAAATATATACAAAATAGTTAAATACAAGGTAGTTTGAGAAGGAGACCATTAGTAATTGGAGAGACTAGGAAAAATATTAATACAATGGAGAGCATCAAGAGGAAGTTGGCCAGGCTGTTGATCATAGGATCATAGATTTATAATTGGAAAGGACCGAAAAGATATCTTATCCAGCCCCTTCCAGCAAAGAATCACAAGTTAGAGCTGGTAAGAGACCATGGAAGCCATGTGGTATAATCCCCTCAATTTACAAATAAGCCAGATGAAAAAAAGGAGATACAATGTGTCAAGGTCATCCAGGTGGAAAATAAACAAAGCTGAAATTTGAGCCTCAGATCTCAGGCTCCACATCCAGGGCTAGGTACCAATTAATAGGAATTACTAATACCCTGAAGTGATCCCATTACTTGAATTAGTACTGGATATTTCCATTGGGCTGGAACCACTTGCCATATTTTATATCATTATAACTTCAAATAGTGCTATTTCAGATACATAGGACCATGTCAGGAGGTTCCTTATTCACATTCATCGGGACCTAGCTACACACCACAACCGCATCATCATTACTTTATGATGATCAACTGAAGAACCCAGGAGTATCTATCTAGAAAGGACAAGACCTAAGAGTTCAGATCCTGTCTCTGACACTCACTAGCTGTGTGACCTTGGGCAAGTTACTTAACCTCTGATTGCCTAGAAGGCAGTTAGATAGCTCAGTAGATAGAGCACTGGACCTGGACTCAGGAAGACCTGAGTTCAAATCCAGCCTCAGACACTTACTAGCTGTGTGACCCTGGGCAAGTCATTTAACCTTCATTTTCCTTAATCTGCTAGAGAAGGAAATGGCAAACCACCCAAAGCACCCGCGTATCTTTACCAAGAAAACCCCAAGGCTGTATGGTCTGTGGGGTCACGAAGAGTAGACTACAACTGAACAATGGAATAACAGCCAGGGGTATATGGATTCTGTGATTATGTGTATTTGAAAGCCTGTGATATGGAAGAGGGCTTTGACTTTCTCTGATTTGTCTCAGAGCAAAGAAGGAGGAGCAGTGTGTGGAAGCTGCAGAGAAGAATGTGTCAGTACATTTGAAGGAAGAATTTCCTAACAAAGAGGATTTATTCAAGAAGACACTGGAATGCTGTAAAAGCCACTGGGTTCCTACTCATTAGGGTAGAGCAGTGATCCTCCTTCAGAAGGAGGCTGGATCAGCATTTGTTTGATCACTTCTTAGGGCTATTGAACAGGCTATTCCTACTGCATTTAATAGCCTTTCTGAGGTCCTGGTGATCTCTGCAGTTCTGAAGTCCTAAGTGCCTACTGTGTGCAGAGTAATCTCTGTGGGGAGGTAGAAGGGTAATTAAGCCAAGGATTATAACGATAGCCCATGGTAATGGAAGATGCTGAAACATGTTTTCTAGTCATTAAAGAAAGATTATATTATATTCAGTAGGGTTTTAGTGATACGTGTATTGTGTTGGTAGTCCCTTTATGGAAACTCTTTCCTAGTGAATCAAGAATACCCCATGTAAGACACTGAATTTTATGTATTTATTGGGTGTGTGCGTGTGTGTGTGTGTGTGTGTGTGTGTGTGTGTGTGTGTATCTTAGCTCAGTTGTTTAGAGCACTCTGTTCTGTTAATGAGTTAATACTATGTGTTCATACCTGAGCTATGCCAGTGGCTTTCCAGGGCAGCTGTCTTGCAGATATGTTTTTTGTCTCATTGGGGACTTGAAAAGCTTTTGGTCATGGGGCTTGTTTTGTGCTGTCCCTTCTATTTCGATGTCTTCATTTCATAAGTTTCATGTAAGGTCTCGTTAATAGAAGATGCTACAATCCTCTAGCCTCATATTATCTCACTCTCTCCCCCACTGTCTCTGTTACACACACACACACACACACACACACACACACACACACACACACACGCAGATTTCCATGCTATTAAGAAGAATAAAAATTAGCAGTTTCTCACCTGAACTGCATTCAGGCTATCCAGGAGTTAAGAGTAGGTAAAAATGGAGGTAGGGGAGTTGGTAAAGGGATGGGTTGGTCAGTAGAGAATAATATGGAGTAAACTTTGACTAGCAAAAGACTGGGGAAGACTACTGGTGACTCCAGAAGAACATGTTATTCACCTCTTTGCTGAGTCAGTTTGGTTTTTCTATGTGTATTTATATTCTCGGTCATCATTGTTCTTCCTTCTATTTTGCTTCTCTTTGTAGGCAGTAAAGCACTGGTTATCCAGAGTGGTTGGGTAATGGAGAATTCTGGTTCATTCAGTCTTTGGGATGAAAATAATTATATTTTATTTGGATTATAATTTTTACCTAATTAGAATATAAAAATCCAATTGAAAGAAGTGTGCAATTTAATCTTTTATAGTGTTGATAATTCAGAAGATAATTTTGGCATATTAGGTCATCTTTATGGATGTCAATATTCATCTCCAAATGTGGTTAATTGAAGTTTCTGTTTGTTAGAAGTCTAGATGAACAGGATTTTATAGTATTTATTTAAAAAAAAAAGCTTTCTAGAATCAAGATTCAAAATGCTTTTGACAGGCTAGAAGATTGAGCCAAATCCAATAAACTGAAGTCTTAATAATCAGCCTCATAAATACAAATGGAAAAGGCATGTTGTTGTTATTCAGTTGCTTTTCAGTTGTGTCTAACTCTTCATAACCCCATTTGGGATTTTCTTGGTAAAGATAAATTTTCTTGGTAAAGTGATTTTTGCCATTTCCTTCTCCAGCTCATTTTATAGATGAAAAAAACTGAAACAAATAGGGTTAAGTGACTTACCCAGGGTCATACAACTAGTAAGTGTCTGAGGCCAGATTTGAACTCACAAAGATGAGTCTTCCTGACTCCAGGCCTGGCATTCTATCCACTGAACCACCTAGCTGCCCCCTCTAGTAATTAGAGCTGTTGAAAAGCAGAATAGGCTGCTTCAATGAGATATTAAGTACTCCCTCACTGGAGGTTTTCAAAATAAGATTGGATGGCCCCTTGTCAGGTATGTTAATTGACTGAGATTGCTGTTTTAGAGAGGATTCTTGTTCGGCCATGGCATTGGTCTAATAGCATCTTTCCATCTCTGAGGTTCCGTGATACATTCTTAAACTCTTCTGCAGTTACTTCTTGTTCTTCTTTTCTTTTGCCCTTATCTCTTTCCTTCCCACAGATGGCATTTCTGTTGCCTCCTACACGCCAACCCTTCATCTCTTCATCATCCATTAGCTGGTTTCCAAGACTGATCTTCTTAATTCTTTTCCTTGGCACCATATAGAATATGAGGGAACTGTATTTATTCCACATGCAGAAGAGAGGACTAGGAGAACTTAATGACATATGTGTGAGTTTGTATGACCTCCTTCTGCCAAAAAAGATGAAACCCTTTTATGCAATATGGGCATTAAAAAAGAAAAAAAAATCATAGCCATTTTGGGGTTGTGACTAATTACTATTTGCAAAGCCTGGCACAGATTGTGACTTTTCCTTGATTCACAGTGGTTCTGAAGTCTTTGTTTCAAAGAAATACCACACTTGTCTTCCATGTTATTTGTCTCACACAGACATGTGTGGTTCACTTGCCACTTTTGTGCCCCTGCATTTCATAGCTAGGCTAGATTGGTTTAAATAATAGTCTCTGATACTAAGGGCATTTGGTGGTGTAATGGATAGAGTGCCAAGCTTAGAGTCACGAAGACTCATTTTCCCGAGTTAAAATCTGGCCTCAGACACTAGCTGTGTGACCCTGGGCAAATCACTTCACCCTGTTTGCCTCAGTTTCCTCATCTGTAAAATGAACTGGAGGAGGAAATGGCCAACCACTC